GAAAAGCTTCTAATGACGGAACAATCACAAATGGCCAGAAAAAATAATTGTCTATCAACTACTTCAAAATTTGATCTGAGGCTCCACAAAGTCTCTCTCTCTGGGACAGCCCAAGGTGCAGCCACCATCCCAGCCCCTAAAGGATGGAGGATGACTTTCTCCAATGCCAGTGTAATTTTCAGACAGATCTTTTCAAAACTATGGACATTTTCAGCATGTTTTACAGGACATCATAATCAAAGTTATCAGTACAAATGCTATTCAGAATGACCTCTTCTCAGCATCTTCCCCTGTACTAACAGGCCCATGGGTACAGCCAAATTCCAGCTAAAAAACTAAAGGCACAACTGCTGAAATTTTACCTAGAAAGCAGTCACCTCAAACACCCTCCCTGATGAAGTTCTATTTTATTAATTCAGCAAATAAGTGATGGTGGCAACAAGATTTTATTGCCCTGTGAAGAACTATGTAACGATGAACTATGCAGAAATAGGGATATATGACATTCTAGAGTAAGACACATTTAGTGCTTGTCTGAGTGGGGCGAGTGCCTGGCATGGGGCTATTTTCCAAAAATCAGATCTCTGTAGTATCTGAAATAGTTACAGCTGAAGGCTGGCTGACTGCTGTTGGCAGGCACAGCCATCCCTTGCATCCCAGGCTGTGTCAGGCACCTCACACTCATAAGGAAGAGCAGATGGCAGCATAACTCAGCAACTGGACACAAGTGACAGCCCCCTGTGCAGCTGCCCCATGCCCAGGGGTGCACCCACCCAGCCACCCACTGCTGCTGCTCCTGAGGGGCTGGGGCAGCAGCAGGCCTGGAGGGAGGCCCTGCTCTTGGATACATCACTTTGGAGCCAGAGGAATTTTCTCTTCTGCAGACAAGCTCAGTCACAGACCAAACAGGCTGGTGGTTGTTTGCAGAGAAGAACCAAGCAAAAGACAAATCCACTTGATAGCTTTGAGTGAAACATGGGGGGAGGAAAAATCATACTTTACACTTCAGAGCCTTCATGTTTAGTGAAAACAAGAAATGAGTTCATGAAAGACTAATTGCCCAGTTTGTTTTATGCATGAGCCCCAGCATTCCTAGCTCATGCAGCTACAGCTTGTTTTCAAAGAGACCAATTATTGCATTAAAACATCATCTTCACACTTCCAGATTTGCTGTGTAACAAGTCTTCTCTTCTTCATCCTTCTAGCCTAATTTTTTTGCCATTTTTTGGTTTAAGAGCAAAGAAGTGAGCCAAACGAAAAAATGAGTCTTGGCAGCATCTATAATTTACTAACAGCTATTAAAACCTGGTATTTAGGATCCATCCTTTTTCTTCCCCAAAGTAAAGGAACACTGCAGGATTTTAAACATCTTGCTGAAAGACTCATGGCAGCTCAGGCAGCCAGGAAGGACCCGTGTTGCAAGATGCTCTTGCAGGTACCAAGACACCAAATGAGGGTTTGAAATAAGCCTGTGCCATGGAAGTTGAAAGGGGAGATCAGGAAACAAAAGGGTTGAAAGCTTCTTGAATTGTCTAATACTGCCTCTATTATTTCACTGTCTGGAAGACATCCAAGGAGGCTACACGAGACATCTAGTTTATACACAGCAGAAACTGAAAGCTGGGTGATGGGGTAGGGTAGAGAGTGAACGAGGGGAAAGGAAAATAGCTGAAAAACCTTCAAAAGTAGTCAGAAGGATGCCCAGTTTTCTTCCAGACAAGCAACAGAAATAAAGCATTATTCAAGTAAAATGTTACCGTCAGAAAACGGAGTTCACAGGAAGCATCTGACTCTGCAGCATAAATCTTCATTACAAATAAAGATGTTTGAGCAATCACAATCCCTCTGACGAAGCAGAAATCAGAAGCCTCTGTGCCTGCCTGTGCTGCAGTCTTGGCACTGGGTGGAGAGATGCTATCAGGGGTTGCCACGGAAATTGGAGGATGCAGACCCAGCAGCTTTGACTCTGCACAATCTGACAGCGAGTTCAGCTGGGGACAAGACACTGGGGACACCGGTGGTTTCCTCCAGCTTCCAGGCAGGATTGTGACAGGGCTGTTTTGAAGCTCTCCAGCAGTCTGGTCTCCCAATTCCACCACTTCCATAGTCGACCCTTCACTTGTCCCCACTGTGTACAGACACAACCTCACACACATGTTGTCCCCAGTTCTCCTCCTCCTTCCTCCCAGCTTGGACAACACACAAGGCTAATTTCCTCACCCATCACTTCCACCCAGCTGAGCTGCTGCGTGGTGGCTATTAAGTATTTTTTAGTTTCTTAGATGGGAGTATACTCTGAAAACACAGTGGCTATTTAATTGAAGTTCCTTTCATTGCAGATGGATCCCTGATATACCACCTCTCTTCACAAACTTGGCAGGAGCAGGAAGAGCACTAGTAATTTTTTAAGATCCCTGTAATTTTTTATTATTTTTTTTTCTGTAAACAGCCTTGATTCAGAGGGAACCTGCCACACAGGGAAGTCCAACACCAGGTAAATTGCTGTCCCCTTTGGCAATGTTGTTCTTACCTTATTCTCCTGCATCGCTCCCATTGTGGTATCCCCAAAAGGAAAACTGCTGTGGAACACCTCGTGGTTTGGAGAAGAGAGATCCCCTTTTTCTCTCAAAACCCTTAAGCAATGTAAATTTCACTTTGAAAGTCTCTTTAGGATATATGTCTACTGCTCATTTTCTACTCTACTTGCCCATAAATATTATGTATGCTAACTCAAAAGCAATTCTAAACTTGTGCACAGACTTTCTGTAATTTTTTTCTGTTGCTGCACCATTGGAACAATGATCCCGATGTCCCAGAGCTGTAACATAGTTTTCCTTCAGTGAAATGGCATCCCAGTCATACATTAAGTCCCCTGGAAAATAAAATAAATTCTCATAAAACCTACAACAGTTAAATTTCAGAAAAGAAGCAGAAAAAAAAAAAAAATCAGCACTGAGCACTTACGCTTTATACGAGTAACTGTGCAAGTAGATCCATGGAGCACTGTTTTCATTTCAGATTTGTATCCCCTGCAGAAAAGGTTATTTGGATTTGACACAAGCAGATCAAATAAGCCTTGTGTGAAGTGGCCACTGACATATTTTGGGAAGGGAGATTTGCAGCCAGTGGCATGAGATAGCACAAGGCAGTGTTAAGTGACAGAACAGTCCTCCAGCTTTGATTTACTACTGCACAACTTCCCTTTTTAAATTTAAACTGATTTCTTTCATGTAATTTGCACAGTGAGAAAGATGTAAGGCCAGTTTATTTGAGAGGATGGCAGCTGTCACTCCATGTCAACAGAACACAAAATGAATGAGCAATCCAGCACATGGAAATAGAAAGTCCTGACACTTTAATTATCTGAAGAGATTACAAGATGAAAGTCTTCCTCGAGGCAAATGTATATTAATATTGATATAGTCATTGTGCTTTTCAGTAAGAGAAATAGGAGTCTGTATTTACATAAGAAACTATAGTGTCTGAGATCTTTAAATATCATATTTATGGAAATGATTCTGAATTACAGCATTTACAAAATAAAAACAAGCTTGAATAAATATTCAGTCCATTAAATAAGTTGTTTTTGTTTGTTTTGTTTTGTTTTTCACAGAAGCAACTTTTTGTGCATATTTATTTCACAATTGAAGTTTGTTGTATTTTTTTTATCCTATAAAAGAAGCATTTAATTTGTTGGGTTTTTTTTTTTCTTCTAAAAATAAAACTGCAATAATCATTGCAATGTGAAGCCTGAGATTTAAGCCTGAATAAGTATCATTGCTTGCACCACATTATCCACCTCCCACCAGTCACCCAATCCCATGCCTTTCCAAACTCTGGTGAATGCTGACACCCCAACTGAAGACCTCAACAGAAATAATAATATAAAAAGGTGAAGATAACACATAATAGCTGACATTGTCTATAAACAGCATCATAAGGCTTGTGAATTACACATAAACGAAGTGAAGCTGTTTCACCCAATGCAAAACGACAGTAGTGTCCAACTGATGTACCCTTATATGGCTCATTAACACTGAGTATTAAACCATTTAAATGGAATGTCACCCCAAAAATAAATTTAATAAACCCCCCCAACACTGGCCAGTTTTGCTTTATCATTCTGAGTGACAACCTTTCTTGAGCAAGATACCACAAACAACTTCCTCATCCTTTTTTGTATTTATCCCTTTGAAACACAGAGTGTAACACTGCAAGTCAGGAAAGGGGATACAGCAAAGAGCTCTTGATCTCCTTTCCCCTGTAACCACAGCACACACCCTCCTGCTTTTCATGTGGCTAACTCAAAGCACATCCAAATGCCTTTGAAACCTCAGTGTTCAGTGAGCTCCTACTGCAGAGAGTTTGTGCAAGATCATAGCATGAATCCATGTGAGTCTTATTTCTTTCCTCCCCAAGCAAAGATAAAATTAATCCCTGGTGTTTCCAATAAATACAAATGTCTTCTGAGTTGTTAGCATGAGTGAAGTAATGGTATGCAGTACTTTACACAGTTACTCTGCCAAACATGGACAACAACGTGTTGACCATTCTGTAGGACCTCTTGAATATATTTATCATTAGGTATTTGCCTTTTAAAAAACATTTTCAAACTCAATATGGGAGAAATAATTTGTCACATTTACTGAATTTTGCTGCTAACTCTTTCAAAAGTATGCATTTTAATATTAATTCATTCATTTGGTAACCATTTCCTCTGAAGTTTGTTAGGTTTTAAATGCTGATATAGAAAAGAAAGCTCTGCATTATATTTTTATTAACAGAATTTAGCATAAGTGATGTAGAGTATAAATACTTCCAAAACTCAAAAATACGGAATTGGAAGTTTTAAAACTTAATTTTTAAAAGACAATTTGGAGTGATTGCTCTTCGGGGTAAATGAAAGGAACAGAAATATACTGCTTCAGGACCCTCATTACTTCCTATGTGATGCACAGAAGATTTTGCTTTTGTAAATATCAAATAAGGATTGGAAAGAGTTTTGCTTTAATTAATCCAAGGCAGTAAAAATGTAGTAATGGGAAAGTGGAACCACAGCAGGAGGGAAAGCGCTGACATCCACAGCCATGCTGGTGTTCTAGTGTGCACAGAAGTGTCTGAGCTTTGGGACTGATTTACTGGGATGGACTAGTTAACCTGCTCCTAGCGTGCGAGTTAAGCAGCAATGCTTGTTCAATTCTCTGAGCCCTATTTCCTTCCACACAGTGCATTTGTTCTGCATATGGCATCGTAACGTTCATGTTATAAATTTATGGAAGACTGGACTGTAGCCTTAGGACCACAGACACTTCATCCTTCCCTTTAGCAGCTTAGTAAAATGCAATAGAAACTGTACAAAATTTATAATAATGGATGTCAAAGCCTACGTGCCCTCACAGGGTGCCTCTTTCAAGTTAATTCTTGGCTTGGGTCAAATATATCAGTCTGTGTAAGACTCCAGAAGACACATCAGTAGTTTAATAAGTCAGATACCAGCTTTGTCACTATAGAAAGGAGTGACATGGAACATGTAACAGTGAGTGCAAACACGGACAGGCTTCATCTGACCATAACGAGGTAATGGAGCAGAGTGAGAGGAGCAGCGGGAACAGAAGATCTGAAAAACAAGAGGGAGATTTCACTTTAGTTCCTCTGAAGAACTGGGTGGGACAAAATTGATTTCCAAGGAGGGAAGAGATCACCACACGTGCCGGGCTCCTGTGTATCAGAAACACCACCCTCCTCAGCATGGCAACGAGAGGCCTCTGCGCTCAATTCACAGCCTGATGGCCAGTCAATCTGACTGCACCCAGCCTCTGAGGAGGGTGCCCAAGCACTGACACGAGCCAAGGTCACAGGGGAAGGCAGCTCCACCAGAGATGAAAAGAAGCATCTCCCTCCACTGGCTTTGAAGAAAGACATGGGGAATATTTGTGAATAACACCAAAGTTCAAGTCCACTATGAAGTTAACAAAAGAAGCTTTTCTACCCTCTTCCTTTTTAACTTGTACAGCAGCAAGTGAAATGGTACTGCAGATTTCTGGTTTTCCAAGGTCCGTGAGTGCTTTTTCCTCCCTCACTTGCTCTTCCTCCCCCACAAACTTGCAAAGCAGCAGCCCTGCACACTGCAGTTCTCCTGCCAAGGTTTAGAAAGCAAGCAAAGGGACATGCTAGTCCTGCAGCTGAGCTGTGCATCACCCCCTCACAACACAGGCTGCTGCAGTTGTTTAAAGCCGTAGTCCAGAGTGCCTCTGGATTTGGGGTGCTTGTTTCAGGATCTCAACAGGGAGTTCTGCTTTTTTAGCAGACAAATGCTTACAGCTGTATAGAAGTCAGAACCCTTCCCCCCACTTTCTAAATGCAAACTGAGCAGTTGATAGCCAAGACATACAAAACCATTGTTGACTTGAAAACTCCAGCCAAGCTCATGCATTTTGCTGTGCAGATGAGCTTCTGTGGTGCACACAAATCTGCTGTTTGGCACATAGTTTCTCAGACGTTGGACTGAGTCATTACCTTGCCACAGCTCCGGCAGTGGTGCTTCCTGCGAATGACTGTGAAAGGCGCCTTGCACGCAGTGCAGTAGCTGCAGACTTCATCTGGAACCCAGTCAGGAGGATCTGTCAGAAACACAGCAACAAAAGGGAACATAAATCAGAAGGGAATAAAAACAAACATGCAATTACAGGGTCCTCAAGGGAGTAGGGAGAATAAAATACAACAGCAGCTGCTTTCATCTGAGTTTCTCAAGGTGCTTTGCGAACAGGCAGCTGGGTGAGTTTTGGATGCCCAAGAGGGCTCAGCTCCCCCCTTCTCTCCCAGGCACCTTTGGGCACAGCACAGCAGGCACTGGAACAGCACACAGCAGCTCTGGACTCAAAATGAAATATGTCCTATTCAAGTGAAAGTGGCAGGGAAAAGGAGATTAGCAAAATAAAGTATGAAGACAAGAGACCATTAAAGTGGAGTTGGATCATAGGAGTTTTTGTCACTGCAACCAGCCATCAAAACAAAGTGAGAGCTGAGATCATTCCCTACCTCTCCAGCCCTCCCAACAGAAAGGCTGACTGCTTTTCTGCAACGAGGCAACCAGCTCTACAGGTAATAAACTTGGAACCTGATTACTGCCTGCCAAGCTATTAGGACTTTTACTGCAGTCACCAGTAACTACAACAAAATTACAAAATCAAATGCACAAGACTTAGCAGAGAAAGAATTCAACCATTATCCCTAACTGCACGTTTCAGTCTATTTCCCCTGCCAGCTCTCTAGCTTCTCATAAAAGCCAAGCAGGGAAATTATTTGGTTTTGGCAAAGCAGAAGGTACTAGGCTCACTTCTGTTGAGCTGCTTCTGCTAGAGACAGGCTGACATGACCCTCAGAGAGTCTAAAATTACAGGCGTAGAAATGATGTAGCTGATTGCTTAATTAAGTTGGTAAAAATCTAATGAAGGGCGAAGCAAGTTCTGTCCAGAAGGAATCCATGGACACAGTGAACGTGAGCTGCTGGACGTATTTACCCAATTTCCCTGGATGCAGCTTCTCTCACAGTATTATTTACAGTATGCAACCCATGCAATTGGTGATTTATAAACCTGACAAGCAAGATCCCTGCCTCAAGGAGCACATTATCAAACACCAAAATGTATAGTGCAGTTAATACAGAGGTCAAGAGGGCTACAGCTAAAGGCACAAAGAAGATAATAAAATGAAAAATCCTCTGTATTCCTCAAACATAACCATGACCAGTTTTCACGTTTGTCAAATTGCAACATTTGTCAAACTAAAAGTATAAAGGGTATAGCATTCAATGCAGAACATGTTCAAAAAGCAGATTAGTAAAACCAAAGAGAACTTTTATGGGCTCCTCTAAATTATTTTGGAAGTTATACTAGTTTAAGGAAGCAATCTCATTTAATGAACAAACTGGTCTAATAAAAGTCACAACTATAGGGACAGCAATCAAACCCAAAGCCTCTGTGCAGAGAAATGGTAAAAAAAGAGGAGATGGTACGTACATAGGAGCCTTCAACTCATCCCTGGGAGCAGTTCAGCAGAAAATGTTCTGTGAGGACACAAGGCTACAAAATCCCCCTTTAAAGAGCAAGCTTTCCTATGGCAGCAGGGAGATTGCAGGACTGCCAGCTTAAGTTGAAGCATTAAAAGCAATGAAACCAAGGGATTTTCCTTTCCAATTCTTCTCCTCCTCTGCAACCTCCCTACCTACTACATGGAAGTTGCCCAGTGAAACTTACTTTTATTGTAGCCTGATGGCTAATGTAGGCTAAATTGATTTTGAAAATACTGTATCACTTTCACAGGAATCTCTGCAATGAAATCATGGCAAACCTGCAGACCCTGGAGCATCTCCATGTTCTCCATCCACGAGGTCTCTCAAGTTATTACATAAATTCCAAACAAAATAACTGAGCCTATAACAATATTCTAGTTCAAGACTTGCCACTAGGCTACCTAGCCTAGATTATTTTTTCAAGGACTTGATCACCCCATTGATTTTCATTAATTTTAAAGACAGCAAAATTTAGAAAGTTATTGAAGCTCTGTGCTAGATCTCCCTCCCAGCTGAAAGCAGGTTTGGAAAGATGCCTTCTTCACTATGTTGAGGTAGTTACTAGTTTTTATATTCACAGAAAAGCCACAAAACACAGGCATTTTTGTACAAACTGCAATATGAACTACAACTTCTGCAGCATAACCACTCCTTCCTTTGAATCATAATTAGTCCACACACATTATAAGCTAATGCAACCTCACCACAAAGACTCCAGAGCTCACTGGCAGAAAGCAATGTCCCTATCAGGTGTTTACTGTGAGGGTTTTGCTTTGTTTTGTTTCTTCTATTGCTGCCCTTGAAGTGCAAAGTTACACAAGTTATTTTTTAATTGATCTCATATGCATTTGTCTCTAGTACTAAGTAAAAGAAATAAATGCAAAAAGAAACTCCATGAGAAACAGCAATTCATTTTGATAAATAATGACCTTATAAACTCATAATAGTCATATAATCCACAGTTCATGGTTACAGAATTACCTGACTGCCAGATGAATTAATCTGCAAACTTTGTTTTTATAATTGCATTTAAAAAAATAAATCACATCTTAGTGGTACTCAATGTATAGAAACAGCATAACCCTCTCTACAGAACATTCTCCCACATTAGAGAGACTCTCTTTACCTCCATGTTGGTGTCACATTACCTGACTCACTAAATCAAGGCATCAGCAGAGTGAGCTAAAGGCACATTTTCACCCACCCAGTGACTCCCTTCAAGAGGGCTTTGTGGCCAGCCCTGTGCCCCCTTGCTTCTGGGTTGCAGTGCCCTCCAAACATCCCAACTGCTCACCCCGTGCTCAGCTGCACTGCAGCACACCCCCAAATAGTAACACTTGGTTATGTAAGGGCTTTTAACATTCAAAATGCTGTACAAACATTAATTGCTTTAATCCTCATCACCCAGCTACAGTCACTAAGTCTGTGAGTGGAGAAATCAGGAGGGAAATGCCTTGCTCCATGGTGCAGTCCTGAAATAACATTAAAAACAAGAAACTTTGGGTCATTAGCCCTATGCCTTTGCTTCCAGTTTTGGCTGCTCAAGTCCCTACACTGAGTAGAAAACAGAGGCTTCATTTTAAGAGTATCCACTTGCTGAGAAATCAAACATAATCCTGGATTGGAGCCAAAGTGTCCAGACTGTCAGGAAGGATGAAGCCCTGAATGACTCTCTCTGAGCCCATGCAAGCTCCAGGAGATGGGATCCCCCCCCTTTGGAAGCCTCATCTTGCTCAGCCTTGAGAGCAGCCTTTCTGACTTACACATAAGCCAATTGAGTCATCAGGCTTTTTATAGCACAGGTTTTTTAAATGTTCTCTGAAGAGCAGTTTCATGAGGGGATGAAGCTTCGTGATGAGGAGCAGAGTGAGCTGTACTAATGAAACCCCTGGCATCAGCCTGAAGAGGTGCTGGAAGCAGGGCAGCATCACTGCATCCCTAGGCTTCTGATGTTAAGAGTCCTTCTCTGGGCTGCTCTGCTCCATTAGCTCTGCACGCAGCAGCAAATGGAAACATCCAGTCTCTAAAGCTCTATCTGCCTGTGCTTCAGGGATCTGTACAAGGAATGGAGGGAAAAACTTGTTCCTGGGCTAATTGGCCCACTGCTTTATTGTGCTACAAGAGTTAAGAGAAGTCTGTTGGGAAACAGATGAAGACCACAGCAGAAACATCAAAGAGGAGGAGGAAAGGAGGGAAGGGATTAACGAGACAGAGCAACTACAGAAATACATTTTAGAAGAAAACATTAAAAGCATGTAAGAGAAAAAGGCAGAGAAAGGAACAGAAACAAGTATTTAAATGAATAATAAACAAGTTTAGAGAAAGGAAAAGGCACCAGATAAAAATTAGTGTGTAGACAGAAGAAAAAGATATTTTAAAAGGAGAAACAGTATTTCTAACTCTTAACTATTCAAATATATTGCTTTACAATCTCCCATAAATAATGACATTTTATAGGGGTTTTTTTTGTTTATGCTGTAGCTTTTAGAATTCAACTTTCCATGTCTCTGCAACTTCACTAGCTAAAAAGGTTTTCTGCTCAATAAAAGTTAATCTCACATAAATCCAAGATGGTGGGGCCACAGTAATGGTAAAAACCATAGGCACTGTAAACAACATAAAAAAGCACATGTAAATTAATTTTGCCTAAGTACATGCAATACATCTATAGCAGTCCCATCTAATCTTACAAAAACAAGGAGAGCATCTCAGAACATAAGGACAAGAGAACCTGGACCCAGATCCATCGACAGTGTTGATACAAACAGTTTAGACCAACAAGTTAATTCAGTGACAGGAGATTATTGGAAGGTAGGGGAGGGAAATAATCTCCCAAGTTGCTGGAGCTTATAGAAGGCCTAATTTAGCAAATCTGTATTCTGGTAGAAAACAAATCAGAGAGAATGAACACCGTGACTCCCTGTTGAACAGCAGCTGCTAAACTCCAAGCTTGTGGTGGTGTTTGCATCATAGGCAGACTTTCTGCATCTTCTGTTTTCATCAAATATTCCTAACACAGAACTCAAACTGGAAGCTCCTGCATTGATGTGTATTAGACTGTTAGAGCACATCATGCATAACCCCTGGTTATACTTTCGCCAAGGTAATCCTGAGAGGGGCTGTTCCTACAGCAGCCTGTGGAACTTACACTGCTGCAGCTGTCCAAGTGCATTATCCTCAGAGCTGCAAAAAAGGTCAGGTGGGCTTGCTGTAGCTCTTGTGATGAAAGCAGGAATTGTAAATTCTCAGTTTTAAGTATGGAAAGTAGAGAACTAGGGTGACATGACTGACCCTCACTTCAACTGCCACAGTAAGAAACTGTTTGACCCTGAACACACATAATTTTCCCCATGTCATTCTGGGTCACCTCTGACCTTTACATAAGATTCCTAGCAGGGAGCTACACCAAAGTCATCTTTACCTTTGCTGAATAGATTCAGTATTGATTACAGCTGGCATGAAAATTTTCAATAAAAATAAATTTTCTGCTTCAACAATATTATTTAATGAAAATTTCAAAGGCAAGGGAGACAAGAGGTACAGACTTAT